CAAGTACCAGGATGTATGACCTTTTGAGGTCATGTCAAGTACCAGGATGTATGACCTTTTGAGGTCATGTCAAGTACCAGGATGTGTGACATTTTGTGGTCATGTCAAGTACCAGGATGTGTGACCTTTCTGGGGTCATGTCAAGTACCAGGATGTGTGACCTTTCTGGGGTCATATCAAGTACCAGGATGTATGACCTTTTGAGGTCATGTCAAGTACCAGGATGTGTGACCTTTTTTTTTAATGCGCGACTTCAGATGTGTGAAGTCTTGGTGTGGCTTTAATTAGAGCATTCACTTCGGTAACAGTGGGATTTTTTTTTTAGAAAACAAAGGCCAGAAGGGATAATGATATGCTAATGAGACGCATGACACTCGATTGCAACTTTGTTGCAATTCTAAGTGCACACGGATTTTTACACACAGACAAACTTGTACACAAATGAAATTTCACACTGTATAACATACTGCACAATAAATAATATCTACAAATAGATTTGTATGCATTTGCAGATTATGGTACTGTATACTACAATCTCTTGAATAGACATCACTCTAATTTGTTAGCACCGGTATAGGTCACAACTGAGAGACAGTCGTCTGACACAGTAGATTGACTACTGGCATGTTCGACTTGCGGCAGAGTACCTGTACCTTCCATGTTCTAATTTAGCCATCAGGGAAATTAGTCAATCGAAAAAAAAACTGTTCACATGATAACAAAAAAATACATATATATGTATATTTAATGTAATATGTATTTATTTTCTTAATTTTGTTGATAACGAATGCATTCTTAGTAGCAAATGATCACGGTAATGGTATCGTGATCCGACCGGTCATGCTGGGTTTCACACAAGTGAATAACTTACTTGTTTTCGAAGTGTTACAATTGATGATTATTATTCAGTAGTTATTGTAATAACGTACAAACAATTAATTCGTTAATGTGTTGTGAAAATTCAACTTAGTTTCACCGAAAGCGAATGATTTCGGTCACATGTAAATGCTCGATCTGATGCGATATCCGCCCTGTTTGTTCAAGCACTTTAGTGACTTGAAACTGTTTTTTGATCTGATAGGTCAAGTCGCTAATTAACCAATCGAAACGGATGGTGGTGGTGGATGGTGCCAACGTGTTTAAAGTACCATAGCTCATTTAAATATGTTAATGGTAGTTCAGGGACTTCAAAGTGAATGCAACACGGAAGAGATTTACCATTGTTGTTGTACGATCTTTTGGCTTTGATTTTGATGGGAAAACAGCATGATTTTTTTTTTAAATCAACAAATTATTTGTTTTCAAAAGATAAGCTGAGCATTGAAGAAGAATTTAACACTTTTGACAATAATAACAGCTCATTGTCAAAACGCAGTTTACCCATTGATGCTACCCACAATAAACACTGCACTCTCGAACAATTACCTCCACGTCTCGAATAAGTGTCAATAACTACGGGAAACCTAAATTAGACTCTAATCTAGGCGTCCTGAAAGATTGGAATGTTCGAAAAATTATGCCTTGAATTAAAATTAAATGGTATATCTTTTTCTGAAATATGTAGTGGCTGTTTGGTTTGTAATAGTTTGGGGTGCGGCTTATATTGCAGGCTTTTTCCTGGAATCAAAACTTGTCAATTTCAACATGAAACAATGTCTCAAGTTAGGGGTGCAGCTTCTATTAAAGCTGCGACCTCAAATATGATTTTTACGGTATGCGTGACTTTTTGGGGTCATGTAAAATACCAGGATGTGACATTTTAGAAGCCATGTAAAGTACCAGGATGTGTGACCTTTTGAGGGTCATACCAAGTACCAGGATGTGTGACCTTTTGAGGGTCATATCAAGTACCAGGATGTGTGACCTTTTGAGGGTCATATCAAGTACCAGGATGTGTGACCTTTTGAGGGTCATATCAAGTACCAGGATGTGTGACCATTTAAGGAATGTCTATTGATTACCTTTCTTGTCCAGCGGTATCCCATAATTGAAGATGAACTCTTTGACCTCTGACATTTGGATCAGCACCTTTAGGTCTGTGCATCTAAATTATATAATAAACAAAAATTAGTTTTACTAATTAATATTCAAGTTATGTAGCAGGGAATGCGCCTGGCGAGCAAGCAGAGTCGAGTAGTTTATTGATCTACCCGAAATAGAACAGATGTAACTATAGAACATTGAGGCGTGTGAACGGCAGAAGTCACGTTATATCAGTTCATACGCGAGTTGAGCAGGATTCCAGATAATGCTCCGCAGGATTTGTGTGTCGCTGCTGATTAAAATGACCTGAAACACTATTCTATGTTGAACTATTTTCAGTCTATTGCTAGAAAACATTGCCTCATCATTGAACAACATTCTGAAGATGCTATATCTGTCTCACTTTGCATAATTTGTGAAATAACTTGGTCAGAGGTGCCCCATATTCAATTGCATTACATGTACTGATTTGAATTGACAAAATCTTCCAAGAAACAACCAAAATGTTTCCAATTCAACCGTATGTGGT